TGATTCTGCACCTGAATAGAGTAATAAGACAAGTCACCTTTATTTATAAAGCACTTTACACAATACAGTGTCACGGATCCAGCCATCCCGTCAGCGTCAGACCCTACAAGCTCCACCTCTCCGTTCCAATTCACCTGAGTATTGATTCCCAGCACCTGTCTCTGTCTCTTAAATAAGGACCAGCATATAAACCCACACTCTTGGCACCCAACCATCTGGTCTCGTCTCTCGCTTATGTGCAAGACTTACCTGACTACTTGGATCCCGTTCACCTATCTTCATGATCTTCAGCTGGTCTTCCTGTCCATCGATCCCTATCCTTCCTGCCTTACACAAAGACTGCTTAACTCAAGATAAGTCATTCCAGTGCCTTGCTGACACTCCGATATATATTTACCTGTGTTTTCCGGGTGTTTCCCTCAATAAAGTCCTGTGAACTGTGTGTTGTGACATACAGATTGTGTCAAACAGGAAACAGTTACAGCGTTAAACAGGAAAATAGTGTTTCAATAATGCAGACAAAATTCAATTCTGCTGTAAAGCAGCTCTTAAAAGAGGACAGTCCATTTTTCAGTTCAAGTCAGTTCATTATTGATTCAGTGATGTCATCATCCAGCTCAGTTCACTTCTCATAAAATTGTGTCTGTGGAATCAAGTTGACAATATTGCCAAATATTAAATGTTCCTATCTAAGCAAGCCAAAAGTCGACAGTGGCAAGGAACCCAAACTCCATCGGTGACAAAAATGGACAAAAAAAAAAAAATCTTGGGAGAGACCAGGCTCAGGAGGCAAGTTCTCCTCTGGCCAGATAAACTAACATGGTGTGGCTTAATTCCAGGCTGCAACACTCAGAACATCCATCAAATTCCTTCTGCTTGAAGATTGAATACATCACATGGCGAAGGAGTTGATGCAGAGGACTTGCCTGGTTCTTGTGGTCTTGCTGAGGATTTGTGCCGATGGCAGTCTAATTGACGAGGTCTTCGCAGGGAATCAGTCTAGGGCTCATCTAATTGTCATGGTTTCGAATAAATAAAAACCTACAATGCAAGAAAACCGGGTTGGAACTTAAAGCTTTCTGTTTTTGTCTTATAATAACGACAAAAAAAAAAAAATCTTGGGAGAGACCAGGCTCAGGAGGCCAGTTCTCCTCTGGCCAGATAAACTAACATGGTGTGGCTTAATTCCAGGCTGCAACACTCAGAACATCCATCAAATTCCTTCTGCTTGAAGATTGAATACATCACATGGCGAAGGAGTTGATGCAGAGGACTTGCCTGGTTCTTGTGGTCTTGCTGAGGATTTGTGCCGATGGCAGTCTAATTGACGAGGTCTTCGCAGGGAATCAGTCTAGGGCTCATCTAATTGTCATGGTTTCGAATAAATAAAAACCTACAATGCAAGAAAACCGGGTTGGAACTTAAAGCTTTCTGTTTTTGTCTTATAATAACCATATGTTTAAGCTCAATGAATGCAGTCAATATTACAATTTGTGTAAAATTGAGAAAATAGAATACGTTTATTTGCTTGTCTTCGAATCATGCTTGTAGTAACTGGGCAATTATGTGGTATAACAGGGTTGTGCGCAAAATTTTGGATGTAGCTAAATATCAAATCATCACACAAACGGCTTGTAACAATATTTAAGAACTCACAGAAATACTGGAGAATGGCATATTTATATAACAAAAGCACAATAATACAAATACAATGTATGTACAGTAGAGAGAGTTGTTATATACAGCAATGTGCTGAGAAGAAAATATGCAGAGAGGCATGAGTCTGTACAGGTAATTTAAATGTAAAAAATATAAATATACATATCAAATAAGATATAACAAATAGTGGCCTGAATATTGCACACATGTGGTTATAAAGGTATAAATGTGAATTTACATATTGCACAGACGTTTTATATTGCACTGAACTGGTTGTTCTGACTGGAGAGAAGAAGTTCATAGAGTTTGTGCCTCGGGTGTGTGGGGTCAGAAATTATTTTGCCTGCTCATTTCCTCACTCTGAAGTTTCTGAAGGGCAGACAGGGGTGCACCAGTGAACCTCTCAGCAGTCTCAACTGTCCGCGGTAGCCTATTTCTGTCCGGTTTGGTAGCAAAGCCAAACCAGACAGTTATAGAAGTGCACAAGACAGACTCAAAAACCACTGAGTAGGCCGCTATAATTACATTTTTAGACACTTCATTTTTAATTTAGACAGTTTAATTAAATTAAATCCGAGTTGAATATTAAGTCAAAAGATTGTTATGTTAAAATTATGACATTGTTGTATACAGTTATAATATAGTTAAAACATATCTAAGATTTGTGCTTATACTGTACCATCTACCACTATATATATATATATATACAGTATATATATATATATATACTAATGGTTAAGTTTTTGGTCTTGACAGAATAGTGGCCAGCTTTACCAACATTTTATGATAGTGCAATCCCTCTTTTGGCATTATTTTGGGAGGAGAGTATTTAAATAACAATGCAACATAATTGACTGAGGTAGTCAGTTGCTGGTGTATGCACTATTAATTAACAGCCAAAAAAAAAAAAAATGTTGTGCTTGACATGGCTGCAATAGTTGCTCATTTGCGCTGCTCTTAGTAGATTGCTTTGGTAATTATGGAAATGAGCTAACCGTGTCTGTGTTCTTTAATTTGCACATTGCCAGTAGGTCACCTGCAGAAATTTTCACTTCCAATTGGCACTTTTATGGGATTGTGGTCTCACTCTAATTTGCCCTTTTCAGTAAATCTGGCCCCAGACATGCTATGTATGCTGCTTCTGCTGCTGTAATTGTTTCTGCAGATACTGTTATTGCTGCTGCTACTGTTGCTGCAGAGCAGATACGGAGACTTGCAACTGCCAATAAATATACAGACAAGCTGCTGTGAGCATGTAGGCCTGCCACTGCTGAACAAATAGCATAAATTAAATTGCTTGTTGCAAATCTAGACAGGTGGAGCTGGGGGAGGTGGAAGGTTTCAGAGGAACATAAAGTGCATATATTCTTCCACTAGCATAGTTTATGTGCCTCATTTGCCAGTGTCTTTATTTAATAAGCAAACTAAATTATACAATTCCTGAAGACATAATCTTGCAAGAAAAGCACACTCCCACTTAAAATTTCTTATAACCAATTGAACATGTGAGAACATACTGAATCTGACTGCGTAAATTAGTTTTCTTGTTTTCTCTTACAAATTAATGGAAACGCAACATTCATAGTATTTAGTATATATATTTAGCATATACTTGCACAAAGCTTGTTGTATGCTCCATTTGAACATATGCAAACAGAGCATATACAGTGCCTATAGAAAGTCATCATACCCCTTTGAAAGAGTTACTTTATTTGTTGTACAGCCTGAAATCAAAACCTATGACAATAATAAAAATTGTAAAAAAAAAAAAAATCCAGTTTTAGTTACAAATTTTGCCTTACAACATCAAACCAATGAAAGAAAAAGGCATGTTCTGATCATTTTTTTTTTTAAATCAGAAACTAGAATAACAGGGTTGGAAAAGTCATCATTCACCTCATTTGATACTTCATAGAGCCACCTTTTGCTTTAATTACATTAATATTTTTGGATGTGTCTGTACTACCTTTGCACACCTACATTGGGGAATTCCAGGGTGAGTGGCAATGGACTGCTTGCTCTCTTCAAGTCCCCCCAACATAATGCTGCCACCACCATGCTTCACTAAACGTATGGTGTTTTTTGGGTGGTGTGGTGTGTTTGCTTTTCGCCAAACTTAGCGCTTGGAGTTTTCAGGGAATGCTTCTTTCTTTCAGCACTATGTTTGGCTTCATATCCATACTACTTTCTCTAATTATCAGTACTTTGAATCGGGTGAAATTATATTTTCTTTGAAAGCTGACCAATGCATCTCTTTCTCCACCCACAAACTGTACACAGAGGCTGTTATTTCTGTTCTGACTGGGTTGGAGGATTTGGATGAAATATGTTCATAATGTAGCCACAGTAAGTGTTTAAAGTAACTCGCAATGCAATTATTATAGGAACAATTTTGGGACTTTTTGCCTTTATTACAAGGACAGTAGGGCTAAGTGTAATCAGGAAATGGCCCGGTTTGACCCGGCTAACCCAACCAAGGGTTTGTCCCTTTTTTACCAACTGTTGGGTTCCCAAAAATGACCCAAATTGGGTTGTTTTTAATCCAGCAATCTGAGGTTATTGAGATTTCTTTCTTACTGAGGTGTTGTGTGTGTGTGTGTGTGTGTGTGTGTGTGTGTGTGTGTGTGTGTGTGTGTGTGTGTGTGTGATCCACTCATGGATTACAGCACGCTTCCCCTTAGGGTTTGAGCTCCTTTCCTTTTTTTTAATTTTCCAGAAGAATTCCCAAAAGACAATGCTGTCAACCACCAAAATTCACTGAAGGCATAGAGCTCCGCCTGGGTTGTGCTCTGCGTATTGCCTGAACATCGCAACAAAGACACTCCATACTGAGTCTCTTGAACACCAAATGACTGCTCAAAGGAATAGTTCAGTCAAAAGCTCACATTCTTCTAATCCTACAGTGGAGATCAAAATTAGAGAACAACCTACAATTTCCTAAATTTCAAGGTCAATTCTTAGTCCTATTTGAAGTTATCCTAACAGGAGTAGAGGGGCAGTTTTTAAGCATATTTCATAAATCAATTGTATTCTGAAGCACAGTATAAAAAACTTAAATGAGATATTTGAAAATTAACTCTGATCAAAATTAGAGAACACTTACAAATACCTCCAAGTCATTGGTGTTAATCTGGTACCTGGTGCTAATGTCCTTAATTATATGACAAAGCCTATTTAACTGGCAGCATTCTTCTAATTTTCACTGAGATTGCAAGATGGCGGGCCGCTCTAAAGTGATGACCCTTTCAGCCACTGCAAGAGAAGTTGGTCATTCCAAATGTGTGATTTCTTGAATATTGCAGCTTTACAATGACACTAATTTATTCAAGTCCCCCCAAAAGGCTGGTCGTCCATGTAAGACAGATGCACGAGAAGACTCTCAATAGGGAATCGGTTCAACACTGCAGCTGGAACTGCTCACTAGTTCAGCGCTGAACAGGGTATGGATCTGTCTCGGCACGTTTAAGAGAAGTCGGACTGAAAATGCACTCTGCAGTGACCAAGCCTCTCATCAGCAGAAAGGATAAAAAAAGGCTAGACTCACCTTTGCTGAGGAGCATGTTATGTGGACAGAGGAGAACTTGTCCAAAGTTCCCTTTAGTGATGAGAGCAAGTTTAATTTATTTGGGTCTAATAGGAAACATAATGTTTTGCATCAAACTGGGGAAAGACTGAACAACAAGTGCATTAAAAAGTCAGTGAAAGTTTGAGGAGGAAGTGTCATGGTTTGGGGGATGCTTTCTGCAGCAGGAGTTGGGCCTCTTATACAGCTACATGGCAGGTGAATGCAAATGTTTATCAGAACCTCCTTCAGCAACATGCAGTTCCTTCCCTGCAAGCATCTCACAATCAGCCTGCCATTTTCATGCAAGACAATGTCCCCGTCACACTGCAAAATGGATAAAGCAGTTCCTTGAAGCTAAGAACATAGAAATAATGAAATGGCGACAAAGTAATAGCTAAGAAACCCACTACAGTTACCGAACTATGGAAGAGACTGAAAGAAGAGTGGACCAAGCTCACACCAGCGCAGTGTGAAAAACTAGTGATGTCCTGCGGCCACAGATGTGCTGAAGTCATTCAAAGCAACACTTCTTACTAATTTCTGACAGCTGTAACCCTCCAAAATTTCAGCTGTAATCTTCTTTCGTGCTACACTGGTTACTGTTCTTTAATTTTGACCACTGTGTTTTCCACAAAATAAAGTTTTTTGTTTAAATGCCTTGGTTATTTTGTCAAACATATTAGTAGAACAGTGGTATACCCACAGCTAATATTCCTTCAAATTTTGAGTGATGAAGTTTAATAATATTTCAGAAAAAAATCAAGTGTTTATAGATTGTTGATCTCCACTGTATATGGCTAAATGTATGAGGTATGTGCTATATTCCAAGTCTTCAGACATCATCCTATAGTTTTGTGTGATGGATTGGAGTTTTCTTGAAATGCCTTTGTAACAAACATTTGTAGTTTACTCGGTGTACCGAGACCGGTTAGTGGTGCAGGTGTCGCTCATTATCAATTACTCCACCGGCCTCGCTCCGTTCCCACGGCTCTCATGGCGGATGGCAGCAGGCTCCGGCCTCCTGGCGAACGGGGCCGACTCCTCCGCTCCTTCTCGGACGGCAGCCACCCCTCCTCGACCCAGCGAGCACTCCGTCCCACCTCGTCTTCCATAGTTCCAGCACCACCGCCTCGGGCAGCCACCGGCAGTCTCTCCGCTTGTTCCTGCTGCCCGATCTCCTCAGCACCGCGATCCCCCTCAGCAGCGAGGACTCTCTGACAGCGTGTCCTTCCTTCCTCCTGGGTTTCGGCACCAATGTAACAAACTTTTGTAGTCATGGGAAGAAGGAGGCGGGAACCGGCGAACATTTCAAACTTTAATAAAATAAACAAACACAAAACGAAAGTAAAGCGGCAGCCGCTCGCGGACGACTGCCGCACACAAAACATAAAATAAAATCCAGGCCTGGTACTCTCTCGCAACACTGTCGTCACTCCTCCTTTTATCCTTCCGGAGCTCCTCACGAGCGCGCCGGCGCGTTTCCCTCGCTTGCGTCGCCTGGAGCGCTTGTATAGGAACGCAGCTCCTCCGACTAAAATGTCCAGTAAAACATCTGAATGCTCAAATGTCGGCAGAAAGTTATTTGGTGTGCTATTTCTGATGTCCAGGAGTTCGTTCCTAGTAAAGCTGATCGGGAAAAAATTGCTTAAGACAGGACAAACAAACAAAAAAAGTACAAGTACCAAGTAGCGACAAACCATTTTTTTTACTTGTGATGATGAGCTCTCAGCAAACAGTGTAGCAATCTTCTGCTGAAGATCATTCAGTGATTTGATGGGATGGCTCACCCTTTAATACAAACCCCAGAGATGTTCACACAGTCACAAGATCAAGCATGGCTGAAGACTATTTGTTTTATTAAGATTTGATTCTACAAAGGCAAAGACACAATGGTGGGAAACAGGTCTGTATGCATCTATTGCTTGTATGATTATTCAAAACCTTTGCAGATGCAGTCAAATTTCCTGACCAATCAGAACAGGTGTCATTTGTGAAGGACACTTTAATCCTTAACATATTTAGAGAATATTTGATTATTATTTAATTTTTGCAAGTTTATCATCCTGTATTTATGTCTGCATTTAAGTCATAAGGACAAATTGGGTCACAATTGGCCCCATTTTCAGAGAATGGTCTAGGAATGATTTACTGTGTAATGGCAATGAAGTTGAGCTCAGCAGAATCTTATACAGCTCCTCACTACACTGAGGTGTAATATTCCAATCGATATATCTGTCATCCAGTCCATATTTCCTACGTACATCATACTATGTTGGGTGTACTGTGTAAATATTTAATGTAGATTAAATATTTACACAGTACACCCAACTTAGTATGACACTGAGTAAAGAAAGCAGTGACATTGCTCAACATAGCATTCACCTTGTAAAGAGATCATTCTCAGCTCATCATTACCACTCCGTTCTGATTACAGGTCACTGATTCTGTCCAACCTCTTAACATCATCTTGAAGAAGAGCTTGCATTAGACAAGGATCTGTGATCTGTGAGTCATTTTGCTGATAAATGTAATGCTGATCAAATTATATCCAAGCATGTTTTTTCCCCATACAGTGGGTATAGAAAATGTATTTACTGAAAATCTTCAGTTCTGCTGCGGCTCTCACATTAAATGTGGCACCAGTCATGTCTATGAACATAACATTTAGCACTAAGAATCAATGCCCAGACAAATGAACTTATAGGGTAGTAAGTGTCATTCAGTAAATGAGGATAACACAAATCTGACCTAACTGTACAACCCTTTTTGAGTGTCTAAATAATGTTGTTTTTGTCACTGATATGGAACACTGCTCAGGTTTTTCTCAGGACTAATTGTCTTAGCCGGCCAAGGTCAAGGTTGAGATGATGTACTGTATGGCACCTATTTACCGCTTTTCTCCATTTATTACTGGGAGAATAAGGCCTGCTTATGCACATTTGACCACCAATACATCACCTCTACTGTATTGTTATGTGTTGTCGTGTTAAATAGGCTATAAACCATAATTAACGTCAATGTGGTGAGCTAAAGCTGTAAACGGAAAAAAGTCATCAGGTCCTTAAAGAAAATCAATGCTCCTGATGCCCTCGCAGGATGCTGGTGGCGGACAAACGGGTGGGCTGCTTGACTTTCAGCAGTACTGATGTCTCCCAACAGAGGTCAGCGCTTTTATTAGTCCATTCAAACCACAAACACAAGAACACACTATCAGCACTCTGATCTGTCAATGCACATGGCATCTAAGGTGGTGGTGTTGTTGGGAATTGTGTGCTATCACAGGAGATCAGATGTGGCTCAAGCAGGATTACGCTGGATGAGGAACCGCTCACACAGAGGACGTGACGGCCCTGGCGCCATCACCTTTGTTAACTATCTCTGAGCCACAGCCTATATAATAGACCACCACAGCCTATTGTATACACCGTACAGAGATGATTTATCATGTAGGGTCTCTCAGGGTTCCCCAACACATGGATGCATGTAACATGCAAACATCGAAATGATAATGAACCCTAAAAGGGTATAACAAACATTGTTTAGCTTTCCATATGAGCCCAAAATATGCTTTATTGAACTGAATACAGTAAACTGCAATACTGCCATCTGCTGGATGATGTTAGTTTTTAGACTTTAGAAACTACAGTAGTGTGCAATTGTGAGTGCAAGACATCTACTCTGACAAAAACAGATATTAGTTTTATTCAGAGACAACTATATATTTGCACTATGCATGACATCATTAGCTCAACTGCTAGAGCATGGCACTAGCAGCTGCAAAATCATGGTTTTGATTCTTACAGTATGTATATGGTCCCCACTTCAAGTTTTTTCAATAAAGTTAAGCAAAGCTCATTAGGGCCTATGAGTTTCTGTTGAACACAGTTTACACTAGTGTCTTTTTGCAATTTTTTGCAATAAAAAAAAACAAAAAAAAAAACAGCTCATTTACTTAGTGACTAATCTGTAGCCAACTAATTTAAATTGTTTATACTTCTGGGATTCACCAGCATGACATTTTTAGGCCTGGATATATTTGCTTTGACATAGTATACATTCAGTAAGTGACTGTAAGTGAATAAGTGTTCGTTTAAATGAGTTTGGCCATATGTCATACGGGCAATGTTTCCTTCCTGTGCTGTGCATAGGACATCTCCAAAACTGCTCTCTTATATCAGCATATAAACCCCTAAAAAATCTTCACTTCTCTTTATTCTGGAGTCTATAAGCATCTCCCATTTGCTTTACTCTTTTATAAACAGCAACTGTTTGAACAAGGTTTCTATAAGAGCTCAAAGCAGCCTGTCTGAATTCCCACGGTGCACTAAATATACATGAGGAATTGCCTAGCCCTCTGTCTGTACTTATTATAACTTGATTATTCATATCCGAGACACATTAGATTCATATGACTAATAATAACTGATTCTGTTTACATGAGCAACACTGCACGAAAATAAAACCTGTTGCTTTTCCATTCATTTAGAATTCTTCAGCATTTTGAAATTCTTCCACTTATTTATTTATTTATGTATTAGTAAAACTTTCAAATGAATGTAAAAATTGAAAAGGAAACAATGAGAACAAATAGAAAATATAATAAGAAATTATATTTTAGGACTATAAATTACACAATATAAACACAATAAATGCGCTGCAGTGCCCTTTCAAAAGGTACACCTTTGTACCATATTTACTGATAAACGGTGCATATTAGTACCTTAAGTGTACATATTAGTAGCTTTTGAAAGAGCACTGCCAAAAGGACAGCTTTTGTACCTTTTTTTATGAGAGTGTAATAGTGTGTAAAAAGATAAATGAAATCATTTGTCAAATAATCTTTTAACGATTCAAGGTGCATCACTTTGCATAGGTATGATACAACTCTTTCCTACCAGTATCACAGAAAAATGTACGTTCTGGAGCTTTAAAGCTTAGCAATCTTTCTTCATCCTTATACAGCTAGTTTTTTTTCTTTAATAAATAAATATACATCTATACATGTGTCAGGATCATGGACTGTCTGTGTCATGTTTCTGTTCCCTTATTTGGTCATGTTCCTGTCCTGGTTTTGTTAATTAGTTTGATTAGTCATCCCATGCACCTGTGTTTCCCCAATCATCCCCTGTATTTAAGTCCCAGTCTGTGCAGTCTGTTTCTGTCAGATCTACTTGTTTCTACGTGTGTTTGCCCAGCTCCTATTGTGGATTATCCCGTGGGTTTGTCATTAAAGATTGTGAATGCTACTCCGTGTCTCCTGTGTTCTTCCCACAGCAGCGTAACGTGACAACATGTTGATGGTGTGACAGTTTAAATTCAACTCCTAGTTTCTCTGCAAAATGGAGTGAAGTAATACCAAGCTTTGCCATTTTCCCTAGATTCAACCATGCACCCTTAGGGATTTAGTATGTTGGCAATACATTTGTATTTAATCCATACAACATTTTTTTTTTTTCAGAAAATATAACTTTTTTTTTAGATAGAGACAATACAGATCTTTTATAACCCTTTGGAAAGTGCACAGTCCATATTGAAGCTAAAAGCATTTCAAACTAATCCTTTCTAATCACATCCCAAAAGTGTTTATAAAATTCGAATGGAAGAACATCTACACCAGAAGCCTTGCATGTTGAATATTCCTGCACAGCTTTTGTCACTGCTTGAAAAGTAATTGGAGCAAAAAAAAGAAGTTGAGCCTAAGCTTTTGACAATTCACCATGCAGATGTAAAGCACTTAAAAGCATTCAAATAATTTCAACACCTTGTTCCTAAATGAATAATTTTTTAGTAAATTGGTTGAATGAATGGTCTACCCATAAAGACACTTGTATTTCTACCCAAGTGTTTTGAAGTGGGCCTGAAGACCACAAGTGTGTATATTTTAAACAGCGCTTTATTTGCTTGATTTTCAGTACTTTGCACTGAACACAATTAAGCAATTAATTGAAGTGATTAATAGCAGTTGTAAACTTTTGCCCCTTAGGCATGTTCAGAATGCACCAACCGTAATGATACAAACAGTGAAAAGTCCCAGTAATATTGGAATATATTGTATATGTATATATTTAACAGTATGATAAGAATTACTGTACGTTTTTGTAGTATGGTAATGAGACAATTAAAAGATATATGAAATACGGCAATAACAAACAACTGTTTAAATTACAATAATATTGCAATAATCTTATATGATTTATAATGAGTAAGTCTTGGCTACGACAATGCTAATAAATAGCTCTTGAAATGTTAAAATGTTTGATCATAGCATAATTAATAATAATGACATTTTGACATTTGCTGTTCTTTATGAATGAAAATTACCACAGTGTTCTTGTAGTTTCACTATTTCAGTAGCATCATACAATGCATATCAAAGCATTACATTGTTAATGAATAACTTTTATTAAAGTCTAATATGCAATGAACAGAAATGTTTTTGCTTGTCACACATTCTTTCCTTTACTTCCTGATTTTTGCCATTTGGACGTCACTGTTGAAAAGCCATCTTCATGTCTGTTCAAAACTACTAAAAGTGACCAAAGCTAACATTTTTCCTTTTGTTATCAACACTCGTGCTGCTCGTGTGATATTAGAAAAACTCAGAGGGCTTGTATGAGCTTCAGTGACCATTCATTCATTCGTTCAGACCATTAACTGCAGCTGTTATACCAGGAAACCTGGAGCAATTCTTCAGCTCTGGATTAAAGTGTTTGGAGCAGCAGTTGGAAACATTCAGAAGCCAAATGAAGCTGATCAACATTACAACGGCCAAATCTGAGGGCTCTTCTGTGCTGTGATTGGCTGTGAGAGGGGGATGTTACATCAGTCACCATCCAGCCGGGGAGTCCTCTAATCAGAAGCGCAGAAGGAGGTGCTCTCGTGTGTTGCTGGGAGGCAATTGTTAATTTTGGGTTGTCACAATGTAGTGGGCTTGCTGTTTTAGTGGAGGTTTTATTTGTGCAGTGAATGTGCATTGTTTTTGTGATATGTTGAAAATCAATAACGCAAAATGAGTGACAAGTGAACAAAAATGAGATAAAAATACAATAGCAAATACACTTATATTGAAAATCCAATCTATGAAAACAAGTCTTAATATCTTGTTGCTTATGAGGATTGTAGTTAAAAGCTCATTTTAGTTCATTAAAAGCTCATTGGGAATTTTTCTTTCTTTCTACATTTATTTAAGAAGACCCCCACTGTATTTTTTCTCTTAGTCATAGATGGCACATAAATAGCATCTTAATGAATGTCTATGATCTATGTACTCTCCACAGATACTATGAAGTGCAATTATCAGCAGCACATCAAGTGTGTAACAGTTTGATGTTCAGAAAATATGCAATTATGTCTTAATCAGTCATCTGTATTTTAACGCATATAATATACACCACCATGACACTTGAAAGGATTTTTGTTTCTCGTCATCTTTCTCACCATCACCTTTTCATCTTAGACTTATGCCTAAATGACTGAGTTCATTGGCAAATAGAAATTGTACATACTCTATGAACATAAAATATAAGCATTTCTATGTTGAACAAATTAAATTTGTTAATTTTATTTATTTGTTTCTTTGTTTGATGTTCCCTAATTCTTCCATTCATATTACACACTTTCACTGTATTACATACAGTATGAACATGGAAGTAATTTTTGCTAATCTGATATTACGGTTACATTTAATTAACATGGTTCGTCTCATGAATCAAGTCAATGTTTGAAATATCGCGATAAGTAAATAAACAGTAAGTAATTCTGGATTCTGTGAGTGGTCGCCAGGGCACTTCTGTGTGGTTGCTATGCTCTTGTTTTCTGAGTGTTTTTTATTGTGTTGCTCTGCAGTTGCCAGGGTACTGAGGTTGGTTGTCAGGTTTTTGCTATGTGGTTGCTAAGGTTCTGTGTGCTAAGGTTTTGTGTGTTTTAAAATGTTATTATGCAGTTGCTAGGGTACTATTGTTGGCTGCCAGTGTTGCTATCTGGTTGCTAAGGTTTTCATGGTTTTTAGCATGTTGCTTTGCAGTTGTGGTGAGTGGTTGCCAGGGCATTGCTCTGTGGTTGCTAGGTTAATGTGGGTGCTTGTCAGGGGGGTGTTATGCGTTTGCTAAGGTTTTCTTAGTAGTATTTAGTATGTTTCTATTCAGATGGTAGGGTGTTCTAGATAGTTGCAGATAATTTTTATGTAGTCGCTAAGTGCTTTTTAGTATGTTTCTATGCAGGTTGCTTTTTTTTTTCCTTTTGTATGTTTTTTGCACATTGTAATGCAATTTCTAGGGTACCGTGGGTAGCTGCTAGGATATTGCAAAGTGGTTACCAAGAATTTCATAGTAGTTTTTAGTATGATACTGTAGTGTTGCGGGGTGGCTGCCAGGGCATTACTACACAGAATTATTTTCAGTGGGGGTTTTTTCAATCTAATCTCATAGGAAAATGTAACTATTTTATGAGGTAGTAATGTGGATCATATAAAATCATGCTTTTTAGGAAAAAGTAAGCATGAAGGTCCACCTTAAACATAACTGTCATTGGGGCATAAGCAGATTGTATGAAACATAAAATAAAACATAAAATACTTTCGAATTGCCACGAGATTGTGTTAGTTTTTTAGTGTGTTGGCATGCGGTTGGTAAGGATTGTTAAGCCACGTTTGTGTATGCAGTCGTCAGGGGGTTGTAGGTGGTTGCCAGGGTGTAGCAATACATTTGCTTAGGTGTTCTGTGTGGTTTATAGCACTATGTGGTTACTACAGTTTTCTGAGTGCATGACAAATGATTGCTATGGTGTTCTGGACAAATGCTAGATGGTTGCTTACTGGCTTATTTAGTCTCTAGATACAGTTCAGGTCCCTCTTATAGCGTAAGTCTGTGGGATTTTTTCACCTATTTAATTTTTCACCAGGTGAACATTGTAAAGTATAGTTGCACATCTAACCACAGTAAAACACATGATTTGTTCAAATCCCTAATAGTAATAGGACTCAACTGTAATAACCCTTACCACACAATTAACATGGTATCGTTTTCCCAGAATTCTCAAGAAGCACAAAAAGTGAGACAAGTGTTACAATTGATGAACTTCCATCAATCAACTTTAATAGATCATAAGATTATGTAAAAACTACATTGGCATATGTAAGACAAACACTCTTCTATATGTTCTATCCACTGGACAGTCCCCTTCAGAATGACAAAGAAAAACACAGTCCAAAGACATCTAGCTAAACACCTCTGTGTTGTCTTATCCACTTTGCTTTGCTTCCTTCTCCATTGCAAAAGGACACATCACATATTGCAAGCTAAGTCAAAATGCATAATTAGCAAACAATAAAAAAAAATGTCTTCCCTCATTTGTTCATTGATAAAAGAATATAATTAGATTTTTGTTCAACGTAGTGTTGTGTAGTAAAATAGATCTGTATAAGCACTGCACAGTTTCTCCCGGAGAGGATATCTGGAACATGGGCAACAACGGGTGAACACTATCAGGGAAGTGCCGCAATGTAGATGGAAGTGATATGAAGAACAGAGCACAGGTATAGTTTAATTAAAAAAATCAAAATAAATGTAAAAATATTATATAAATAAATGTAAATAAACATATCTATAGTATTCATGGAAAGGGCTGATATTAACGTCACATCCCACTGCCCTGCCATACATTATTTTCTCAATCATCTTGTTGTCCAATAAAAAACAAGCGAACATCTGTAGAGCAAGACTAATTTACTTTAAAATAAAAACAATTTTATTTCCAGAAATTATTTTCTGAAAACAAGTATTAAGTAAATTAGGGGTGTTTACTTTTTTTTTTTTTTTTTTTTACTTGAAAACATGAAAGATACTTGCCAAGAATTTTTATTTATTTAATTTTTTTTCACTGATCTCAATGCAGTCTGAACTTAGCAGGAGCGACAGTTACGAAACAACAGGTGATATGCATTAAGTTACATTCTGAATATGATAATACAGAACCTGAAAGAGATTCTGTGAGATGACATTTAAATTTAGTCAAGAAAAAAATAACACTTTTTAGGATGTCTGTATAGATAATGCTTCATATATTTTAATATATACAATAAATACTTATGGTTATACCGTTTAAATATCTAAAACAATATAACATAACAGTGTTGATCTCGTTTAATGTATTGTACTGACCATTAATAAGTATTAAAATATTATAACTGTGGTCATATTTATTTATTATAAAATAATTTGACAATAATACCTTTTTTACATTTATTAATCTTGGTTCGTTTTAATTTCTAATCTGTAAAAAAAAATAGAAAGAAAAAAAATGAGAAACTACAAATTTGTTTAATTCTGAATAGAGTTTAACATTAGGAACTAACATGAGCTAACAATGATATATTTATAAATTACATAAATAACAAAGATTAATAAATGCTGTAAAGTTTTTAAAAGTGAATGCAATAGCATATGCTAACATATAGAACCTGACTGTAATGTTACCGCATAATATTACATTACATATACAGACTTCATAGAAAATGTTACACAAAAGACAATTTTTCATTTCAGTAGATATTCCTTCTAAACTGAAGAAAGAAAAAACAAATTTTACTCCAAATGTGGTTAAATACAGGTCTGTTAGCCCTTAAAGGTACACATCTATAATAATGGTATTTAGTATTTAACACTAAATCATAACCAATGATTGTTTTTTAATTAAATATTCTTTGTTGCGATCGATAGTGCTGTCGTTAACCGTGTGCGACTTGTTATTTCTTTTGCATTTTGTAGTAACTCCATCAGGGATGAGGCGTTTGTTTTTTGAACCACACAGGAAGACAAACCATTCAAACGAACATGCTAAACTTTCCCTCCAAATAAGTACCATTCAAATTATTTCCTATTTTTCTCTGTTGAGTGTTTTAGATATTAATTATTTACTTTTATTCATCAGGCAGTGTTCACGTCTAACATTTAAAAAACATTATTTAAAAAAAAATAATAAGAATAATGCAGCTTGTGATAATCCTGGAGTGACGTGAAATCATAAAACACTTTTGAGAAAAGTAAAAACAGACAAGAGAGCAAGATGAGATGAAAACATTATACAGTTAACGGTACAAAAACACTCAAGGGTTTTTGGCATATTTTATATAGTGGGGAGACAAAACATACGTTTTTGGGTTCCGGGATCAGGCACTCAAAGAACTCAAATGGCCTTTTCGTTTGTGTTGTTGGGACAGTCGAAATAAAATAAAAATCATATATGTACAAAAATCCCTCTCTCCAATACTTAAATCATTAACAGGCATCAGCATTAAAATACTAAATTCTTCACTAAAAAGGCTAAATTCTGTTGTTATCTTAAATACTTTGTTCTTTTCTCTCTATTAATACTGAAAAATTATTTCATGTTGTTGTTTGTTTTTGAATGTTTGTATGCTCACAAGTACACAAAAAATGAACTAAACGAAAACATTTCCCTGTCTCGCTTTAACCTGAATTATTATGGCAAACATTGTTCATCAAAAAATGAAAACAAATGTTTATTCGGATATATCAATGTACAGTGCTCTTCATTTCATATGTCGCTTGTCTTCAACTATAACTACGCTAACCTTCTCAATAACTAAATGCGAACGATTATTCCCCCCGATACGCAAACACACCAAACCCCAGTAAAAAACGCAAAGCATAAAAATAAATGTTTCTAACTATGCAGAATACTTATTTCATATACTTGCAACAGCATCGTAATCTAGTCATAAATACATTAAGGCCAAGAAAAATAATACATTAAAAAAACGTGAATAAAAAGAAAATTTGTGAGCACTGTGTGTTGGCTTTAAAAAATACTTATGAATTGAGTGACGCTCATAATTTCTTTTTTTCAAAATTTTCCATTATTTCATCGTAAGACGTTACCAGAAGGAAATGCACGTTGGTTAGATATCACCGTCTGTGTCTCTTTACAAAGACGTTCGGTGGTCTTGTAGAGAGAGCTGTTCTAGGTGTTTGTGTGGGTTTGGGGTCAGTTGTTGCCTTGCGGCTGAAGCGTGGTTTTGTGCAGTACTGCGGAGGAGCCAGCTGTGGGCGCCGTGGTGCTGCTGCCCGTGGCTTTGATCCACGGCAGCGAGAGCAACGATGCTCCGGTGGTGGTGGTGGCTGTCATAGTTACTTGGATCATCTGGTCACGCTGGATGAGTCGGATCAGAGTCTTGAGATGCTCAAGGGACGTCTGAGTCTCCCGTTTCTGACCCAAAAGACGCTCCTTCAGCTCAATGCAATTCTGTGGAACACAGATTTCAAATTATTTACTTAGATTTTACTAAATATATCTGACAGAGCAATGTCAGGCACAGACAGTCTTAATGTTCTTCTATGTTCATCTTTTTTCAGTTGCTTGGTTTAAAAATGAATTATTAAAAAAAGTGTCTCCAGGTTATGCATCAACCCTTTCTCCACAATTCCTGGAAGCTGAAAACATCCCAGTTTGCTCAATGGGTGACCGGACATGTCACCCATTGGGCATGTTTGGGATGCTCTGGATCCAGTTCCAGTTCCTGCCAATATCCAGCAACTTCGCACAGCCATTGAAGAGGAGTGGACCAACATTCCACAGGCCACAATCAACAACCTGATCAACTCTATGCGAAGGAGATGCGTTGCACTGCGTGAGGCAAATGGTGGTCACACCAGACACTGACTGGTTTTCGGACCCCCCCGGACCCCCCAATACAGTAAAACTGCACATTTTAGAGTGGCCTTTTATTGTGGCCAGCCTAAGGCACACCTGTGCAATAATCATGCTGTCTAATCAGCATCTTGATATGCCACACCTGTGAGGTGGATGGATTATCTCAGCAAAGGAGAAGTGCTCACTAACACAGATTTAGACAGATTTGTGAACAATATTTGAGAGAAATAGGCCTTTTGTGTACATAGAAATTCAGAGAGTTCAGCTCATGAAAAATGGGGGCAAAAACAAAAGTGTTGCGTTTATAATTTTGTTCAGTGTATATATATATATATTATTATTAGTATTTTTTTTTTTAAATCAATAGATTTTTAAAATTAAAATTAGGTAGTCAATATTTCAACTCTGCCCTATTCAGCAGTTTCTTACAGAGAGAGAATCGTAGAGTCTCTTGTCCTCTTCACTCAGATGTTCACACTCTAGTTTCAGCTCAGTGTTTCTCCTCATTAGCTTCCTGCGTTCCTCCTCTCTCACTGCACAAACACACACATATTCATCATCATCATTCTCATCTTCATCTTCATCATCATTGAGAACCGAGGATTTCTGAGGAGTGCTAGTGCATTCAGATGTGTTTGACAGCTCACCTGTTTTATGTGTAACATATGACTGGATGAAGTTCTGTGGCCAAGACAAGTTCTCTTTGTTCAAAACCTTCAAAAAAGAAGCAGAACAGAGAATGAGCAGATTCAGTTTGTCTTCTTTACACAAACAAAACCTAAAGACCTGCACACTTTCATTTTTGTTCAGGGTATAGTTTTGCATCATTTGTGTAAGCAAAATTAATTTTCTCTAGTGTATGAATTAATAATTCACGAAGGAAAACAACGCTTCAAAACTTTCTAAACAACACCGTAATAATTAATAATAATAATTTATGCATTTAGCTACACATTTTTTACCAGTATGTGTATTCCCTGGGAATCAAACCCACTACTTTTTGCACTGCTAACGCAATGCTCTACCACTCAGCCACAGGAACTCTTAATGTTGAAATTAACATTAACTAAGATTTATAAATGCTGTAGAAGTATTGTTCATTCTTAGTTCATGTTAACTAATTTTAACTAATGAACCTTATTGTAAAGTATTACCAATTTTATTTTATATTGTCCCAGATAGTTTTCCAGATAGTGCATTCGAAAACATAAACATCTTAAATACATTTTCTAAATGTCTATTTGACGTCTAACAGGAAACGTCCTAAAGACATATTGCTGATTAGCAAACACTCTAAAAAATATGTCGTCCAGATGTAAACACACACATTAAATAGTCGTCTCTGAGATGTATGTGTGCTATCAGGGATAAGGCAACTAAATTTAATAATGTTGACCAAATTACAGCTTTTAACTGTAGAAATGTTTGGCCCCACTTTATATTAAGTGGCCTTAACTACTATGTACTTACATAAAAAAATAAGTACAGTGTACTTATTGTGTTCATATTGTATTGCAAAACACTTTTGCTGCTATTGAGGTGGGATACGGGTAAGGTTAGGCAAAGGTTTGTTGGTATGGGTAGGTTTAAGGGTGGGTTAAGGTGTCAGGGATGGGTCAGCAGTGTAATTATAAATGTAATTACAGAAAATAATTACAGATGTAATTACATGCAAGTATTTTTAAAATATAAGTACAATGTAAAAACATGTATGTACACAATAAGTGCATTGTACCAAATTATTAATTTAAATGTAAGTACATAGTTGTTAAGGCCACTTAATATAAAGTGGGTGCAAATTTTTTATATTTTTTTTCTTCTAAAATGACTGTCTACAGTAAAGAATATAATTATTCCCCTAAATTATTCCCGCATTTCCCCTAAATTATGTATTTGTAACAGAAGATCATTTTCAATATGACTTGGGCACTTTCATCAGAAATGTTGTATTTATGTTATCATTATGACATAAAAAGAGGACAGCTATATATATTTTCTAGTAAAAATATCGAATTATTCCTAAAACAAGATCAATTTATTACTTTGATAACTGCATGAGGCAAACATTTAGGTTGTATCCATGCAGAATACTACATTGTCCAGATGAAATTAAATGAAATTGTTGGGGTTTATATAATGTGTGTGTTCAAAGCATAGAAGAGAAACATACTTTCTTCTGGCACTTGGGGCACATCCACATGCCCCGGGTGGCAGTTTTGAGAGGTGGATGCAGGCAGTCGGGGTGATAGGCGCGGGTACAGGTGTGGCACGGCTGAAGATCTCCTTCCTGTTTACACACTGCACAGTGATCATCATGCTGCCACTCCTCCTACGTCACACACACACATTTACAGAAACACATCACACAACAGTCTATCAGCAATTCTTAATATACACTTTTAATATTATTTAAAGATATAACTATTAGCCCTTTCATAAGTAAAATTAAGCTGTAAAAAATTTTTTTTTTTTTACATTTTAAATGTGATTTAAGGAGTCCATTATTTTAGAACACATCACATTACTATTTCCACGCCAATGCATCAGGCTGGTCACATGAAACTGTACAGACACAATAGTGCTATATGATAGTGCTAATGTACTGGTTTGTTTATTTATTTTTTATTACAATGATCATGTTAGTTGATCGGTAAATTATAATGGCTATGGGTTTCATAGTGTTTGTTTATGATGAAACACAATCAAAGATTTTTTATTATTTTTGCCACTTCAATAAACATGTTTTTTACTATCTAAAATTGTTTTATTGTATACATAAACAATAAAAATTGTACTTGTGTATATAAATGCCTGAAATAGAAATATTTGGTTAAAAACAAAAACAGCTTTTTGACCAAAGCTGTAAAGTATTTCAATTGTAATTTACTTAAATTGTATTTCAATTTGACTTCATTTCTAAAGTACTTTACCCTGAGAACAGAGTATTGTAATTTTATTCAAATGGGAAAGTACCATAACAATACATTTTGTGTGGGTATGTTCCACAAAAAAAATCATACCGGTTTGGAACAGAAAAGTTTAAAGGGGTCCTATTATGCTTTTTCACTTTTTCAACTTTAGTTAGTCTGTAATGTTGCTGTTTGAGCATAAAAAAGATCTGCAAAGTTACAAAGCTCAAAGTCCAATTCAAAAGGAGATATTTTATTTAACAGAAATCACTTTTCAAAAACTACAACGAACGACTCGTTTGGACTACAACGCATATTTTCCGGGATTTGTGATATCACAAATATCGACGAATGGGACGAAACCTGGTCGAGCTGCACTAGAGAAGGCAACGAGTGTTATCACTATGTCAGAGACACGCTTGCTTTCCCAAGGCAGACGAACTTAGAGTGGTTACAATCAGGTTTAATTGATTAATCTAAATCAGGTTTAAATCACACTCAAATTGATTTGATTTTGAGCAATATTTACACTGAAGCTCGCAGCAGGCGGCTATGGTAAGGGCCATGACATTTCCTGACCAGGCGCCGAGTGGTGCCAATCACAACACACACTAGTCCAGCTAACCAATCACAGCACATTTCGTATTTCAGAAGGCGGGCCTTCATTTGATACAGGAACTATTCGAGCCGTTCATGCCAGACTGGGGAGAGAGGTGTTGTAATATTGTAAAATATGTGAAAAATAATGTGTTTTTCGAACAACCTAGTATGAGAGCCTGTTCTAGTACACCCCCAAAACAAAATCAAGACTTTGTAAAAGAGCATAATAGGACCCCTTTAATTAAATGATGACTGAATTCACATTTTTCTGATATATTTCGGTCATTTTTGTATATTTAAAATATGTCAAAACAATATATATTCTTGTCACAAGAGATTCACACACACAGAGTGATGTTAGAGTAAAGATGTACCTTCCAGCAGAGCTCCTCAGAGTCTAACGTGTGAGTGAAAGCAGAGAGTAGGTTAGTAGCCGTCACACTGACAAAACTGAGTTATTAAGGGTTAAACAGCAATGTTGGCATGTATTCAGCAGGTTAAAGCAGTTAGCATTTGGCTTTATTAGTCAACCTTTCATGTCAAAGAAAAGTCACTGGTTAAAGAACTATTAAAACATGAGTATTTATGGTGAATGTGTGAGTTTAATTTATCCTTTTCAAACATGTTTCTGTGTATTTCATGCATTATTTTTCAGCTCAACCCCAACACCATTATGTTGACAGAAGTAGAAATCTATTTTACCTCTCGCCGACAGAAACATTGCACTGTTCAGGTAATTGGAGGCAAGTCGTTTGCGCTAAAAAAAAGCAAGATACAAGATGTTTACAAATGAACGAAGCCATAAAATGAACATTATTTAAAGAAATTATGACTGGCAGACAGACCTCTGGTTCAAACAGTCCACTGTACGCAGGGTTAGCTGTGCTTCGCCTTTTTCTCTCCTGCCGTTTACTCTGGATCTCTGACAGAAATGAAAACACCATCTGTGATGGATCTTTAAACCCCAACATCTCACATTGAGTCCTTTTCTTAGTTTTTGTTTGTTAATGTGTTAAATGGTTTCATTCAAAGTTAAGCAGAAATCAGAATAATTGTCTCCTTTCAGTGTGAATTTGAATATAATTGGCCACAACACACAGGATGTTGAATTGGAATTTGAACTGAAATGAATTTCAAACTATTCAACACAACTGTATCAACACAAGTTTGGAGAATGTGTTCATTTATTCCCTGATATGTATAAAGCATTTTGAACTGACTAGACTCCAGGTCAGTTCAGACTCCAAGATCAATAATATCAAAACAATTAACAATCATCAAAAAGATTTTTAACAAACAGCACCACAAAATAACCATCACATTAAAAATTCATACTGACATCAAAAATTCAGTTTATTGATGATATTTGGGTGGGTGATTTCAATCTTGGAAAATGAGATATTCTTCCACACTGGTCCATAAAATAAAAAATGAATTTACTATTTCTAAGATTTAATTAATATGTCCATTGTTTAATGTAAATAGCTCATAGGTGTATGGGTAATTCATACAAATTTTATAAATGTCATTATTAGGGGTGCTCCGATCAGGATTTTTGAGGCCGATCACAGAAAGCAGTATCTGCCGATACCGATCACCGATACCGATCTTTTATATAAGCAACACATTATTCAATGCTTTTAACTTTTGCATTTACTTCTAGATTTATATATTAAGTTGCTCAAGCAAGTGGCAAAACATTTAAACAACTTTTCTTACGTTATCACAAACTTACCATTGATAGAAATAGTCAGCTCTACTGCCTTTTCTTTTGATTTAAATCTTTATTACAAGCAACCATGCGGTTCATAATGAACTTAGTTTTTCTACCTCCACAAGTACCATCTATTATTGCCTTAATAGACTGTGCGCAAACGATCTCTGCACTGCTGCAGACACAACGCTACTGGAACGCACTGACGGACCGCAACCGTGTGCTGTGTGCACGCTTTATTAATCAGTTAACATGAGCGTGGAAAAAATACGCACCACGTATGCACTGCAAACGGAGTAATGTGAACCTGGCATTATGTGTGTGCGCTGCGAGTGTGCATGAGCGCTCAGTCTCCAGGAGAGCGCGCGAGCGCTGAATGGTTAAACACTGGCAAGAATTAAAAAGTAATGCAATTTAGAAACTTTATTGATGATGTGACACTGCCTCGATTGTGCAAGTGACAATTCCTTTGTCAACTGTGCAGCGTGCAGCTCGCTTATAGACAGACGCAATGTGTGAAGCCATTTGCATATTTTGAGAGCGAAAGAGAGCGCACGTGCGGTGATTCACTCACGCTGTGTAGGTGAGTACCCCTAGTGATTATTATAAACTACTTCTTTGAATTTTATTCCATTTTAATTATACTAAATTTAATTAATATTATAATTACAATTCACCATATTGTTTGATACCTCAATTCAAATTCAGGAACTGAAGTTGCATTCACATGGCACTTCTCGTACAGTGTGCAACGCTCTTTAGGCTTTGTTTTGCTAATATTGGAGGCTCCTGATTGGAGGACATAATGTATGAATCATAACCTGCCAAACTGGCTATTGAGTTGATATGTGTGTTCCTACCACGGCTGATTTCCCCCCGGATATAGCGGGTTGCCGAGTGGTAACCAGTGGTGGAGCCAGAGGGGTGTACAGGGTAGCACTAGACACCCCTGCCCTGACATCTGATAGGCCACCCCGGGTGTCACTGCTAGGAGATTTATAGCGAGTGGTTCCCTGCATTTTTACAGCAAATCGCGTGATTACAGTACTATAAGCCGCTGCAATAGAGCAGCTCTAATGCTATTAAATTAAAGATGATGTAGGCTACCATAGAGAGAGAGAAAAAAAATGATCAGTGAAAGTAACAAAAACTTGTAAAATACATTTTAATGGGCATAATTACGTGTGAAAATAACAGAAGGATATACAGTCAAACCAAAAATTATTCAGAGACCAGATATAATTTTTGATATTTTTTTACTAGTGGGTGTAGGACACTATAGTTCATTTATGTAAAACGAGGATAGCAAAATAAACTAAACTGTGATATATTATACCCAACAATTCTTCATACAGTGGGAAGTTAACCAACTAACATTATACATAGAAATAAGAGAAATATGTTCCAATAGACTAACATTTGAATTTATGAATGAAAGATAATGTGGGGTAATCAGCAATTGTAGGATTTATTCATGCTTTTTTTATGCCAGCTTGGAGTACACTGATTTTCTGTCATGGTCTATGGACCCCCTGAATTAGCCTTGGCCAACCCATGTATAAAACTCTAGCTCTGCCACTAAATGTAACTCACCTTCCAAGTGTTCTGTGGTGACCAGGCCTAGTGCGACCATGAAGGCAGTTTTCTGTAGGACAGAAGGTTAATAAAGTGAATACATTAAACATTGTTCTACCTTTGATGTTAATTTAAGTCTTTCTCTTCAGAACTAAATTAATTTGACAACATGTCCAAACACCAGCAACATTTGGGCTGAATTCAGGGCAGCGGAGAGAAAATGGCGCAAATCAAAAGATTCAGCTGATCTCAGCAGGTATCAGTCACTGCTATCCTCGTTCTCCGCTAAGGCCAAAACTTCCTTTTTCCATGACAAGATCAACAGCACATCAGACACACACAAACTCTTCAAAACATTCAATTATCTCCTCCATCCCCCTCTGCTACCTCCCACCACCTCTTTAACAGCTGACGCTTTTGCTAATTACTTCACAAACAAAATTACTTCCATCAGCAGTCAGTTCTCATCTCCACACACCCAGGAACTCACATCAAACATATGTTCATTTTCCACCAAAGTTCATGCTGCCAAAACTACCTTCTTCCATAACAAGATCAACAGCGCATCAGACACAAGCAAACTCTTCAAAACATTCAATACTCTCCTTTGTCCACCTCCGCCACCTCTTCCCAAAACCACATCCATCAGCAGTCAGTTCTCAGCTCCACTCACCCAGGATCTCTCAGCAAACACTCACACAGCTGACCATCTTCTCTCCTCCTTCTCTCCTCTTACAGAAGATTAAGTCTCTAAACTAGAGATGCACCGATTGCAATTTTCTTGGCCGATTCCGATTTCCGACTTTTTATTAGTGTGATCTGCTGATACCGATTTTTACTAGGGATGCACCGATACTGGTATCGGGCCCGATACTGAGCTCCTGTACTCGTACTCATACTCGTTAAAATGCCC